ATTTGGCAAAAGCTCCATTCCACAGCTTGACGAACTTGGCTCATCGATGCGTTGAAGTCCTTTTTGGCCTGGCTCGACACGTCACCCTTGTAACCGCTGCAAATCCACCGGAGCACACCATACGCAGGATCCCCTTAGATTAAATAGGACCCAAAAAGCTCTGCATGACCATCCAAATACTCCATGAGCTTGCTCTCCCACAACAAAATCGTGTCGTGTCTTGACCCCTCGATAGGCCCCCAGAAATGAATGCAGAGTCGATCGGGAGCAGTAACAGCTTGAAAATTCAAGCAATGGCGTCGCTTGTGCCCACTATATATCAACCGCTGCAAATCATTGAACTCTGCGGCAGTTGAGTTCGCTCGACCACGCTTCTGTGTAATACGGCACGTTTCGACTTTCGAGCCGTCGATGAAACCAAAAATATTTTCCATGGCTGAACCCTTCAGAGCTTTGGACGCAGAATAGGCTCTCAAACGATGGCGCACAACATCCAAACAAAGAACAAATGTTCTTCCCGTTTTGCAAACAGTACGTCCACCACAAAGTTGAAAATACGACAAAGGGACTCCCGCGATCGGCCAATTGATTGCATCATGTCGTAGTATCGTTGCGGGTAGGATAGACGGCTCAGCACAACACACAATCTCTCCACACCAGTGCAGCGGCCGTTCGCTTCAGTCACCACGACGCTCGAGGGGCGGAGCAGATCAGCAAGCTCGATGATCCCCGTCTTGTCAAATCGGAATTTAAGCAAGCAGTCCGCGTCAGACATTTGGTTGAGATCCAAACGCGTGCCGGGCGCAAGTGGTCGTTCAACAGCATTCTCAAGAAGGCGGAGAAGACGTAGACGTCGTTTATACGACACGTAGCGACGCCGTCGTATCAATGCGCCAAGTTACTCGATGGTGAGCATTTCGAAGAGGGTCATGCTGTGCAGGTAAATTACATACCAACCGGATACGGTAAATCCACGGGTCACTTTTCTCGAAACGAACAATTCGTGTGCCGTGACTTTGCCATCCCTCAAAATTTTGATGGATGGCAAATCCACGGATGGCTCTCCGAAATCTGTCTATTGTCGCAACACGAATCCGCAGTTTATTCAAAAATAGCTTGAATTTATATGCTGTCAATTCTCGTTGAAGGGTACACTGTACTACTCCGATCCACTTAAAGTGTCCACTATCAAAATTGGAAAAATTCCAGTTAAGTTGTCACTTCTACTATCATTGGATACAATTATGCATGACATGAATATTATTGGT